CCATGGTCGGCAAAGTGGTGGGGGTAACGGCGGCAACAACGGAGGTGGTGGCCGTCGCAACAATCGGTGGCGCCCCCCGGTGTCAAATTTGCAAAAACTGAGGGTATGAGGCCGATGTGTGTCGCAAGCGCTATGACCAGGACCACAACACTCGCTCCGCCAACTCGGCCTCCACCAACACCGTCGACTATCCTTGGGTACTGGACACCGGGGCTACGGATCACCTGACGAGTGATCTGGAACGCCTCCATGTTCACGAGCGCTATGGTGGCAAGGACCAGGTTCAGGTGGCCAATGGCGCAGGTTTGTCTATTTCACACATTGGTCATTCCCGTTTACCCGCTTCATCTCTTAAACTGCGCAACATCCTTCATGTTCCACACATCAAAGAGCATCTCCTTTCTGTCTACCGTCTTGTTTGTGATAATAACGTGTTTGTTGAGTTTCACCATCATCTTTTCTTTGTTAAGGACAAAGCAACCAGGCGCGTCCTTCTTCAAGGTAGCAGTCGCGGGGGGTCTACCCGATTCCTTTTGCTCGTGCGTCGTCCTCGTCATCTCGCCATGCTGCATCCGGTGTTCGCGTTTCGTCGTCGCAATGGCATCAACGTCTAGGTCATCCTACCAATAATGTGGTCACCTCCATTGTTCGGAGCCATGACCTTCCTTGTTCTCGTTCAAATAATTCACCATTAGTGTGTGATGCATGTCAGCGTGCTAAGAGTCATCAACTACCGTATTCTACGTCTTATCATGTCACTACTGTACCTCTTGAATTAATTCATTCAGATGTTTGGGGTCCCGCTATTGCGTCTTGGGGGGGGGGGTACAAGTATTATGTTAGTTTTGTTGATGACTACACGCGCTTCACTTGGATTTATTTGCTTAAACATAAGTCTGATGTTGATCAAGTCTTTTATAACTTTCAGGCTCATGTCGAACGCCTTTTAGATTGCAAAATCAAGGCCGTTCAGTCCGACTGGGGTGGTGAATACCACAAGCTTCATCGCTACTTTCAACGCAGAGGCATCTCCCACCGTGTGTCATGTCCACATACGTCTCAGCAGAACGGTATTGCCGAGCGCAAACACCGTCACTTGGTCGAGACTGCCTCGTCTTACTGGCGCATTCGTCTCTTCCACTTCGATTTTGGATGAGGCCTTTCTTACGGCATGTTATCTCATCAACCGTATGCCCACTCCGGTTCTCAACAAGGACACGCCCCTGTTCCGTCTATTTCATGTTCAGCCCAATTATTCCTCTCTTAGGATTTTTGGGTGTGCTTGCTGGCCTAGTCTCCGCAAGTATAATGCTCACAAGCTGGAGTTTCTCTCCAAGATGTGTGTTTTTCTTGGTTATAGTCCTCTGCATAAGGGCTACAAGTGTCTTGATGGCACCTCGGGTAGGATCTACATTTCTCTGATGTTGTTTTCGACGAGTCAGTTTTCCCTTACTCCAGCCCGGGTGTCTCGGTTGATATTGCTTCTATTGAGCACGCCCTCACTTTTCCATCTAATGAACCGGTTTCAGATGTCCATGTGCGGAAATATGACCTGTCATATTTGTCACCTGACCTATTTTTTGCAGATGCTGCTCTAATTTCTTCCCAGGAAACCGTCGCCGCACCTGCATCCGCCGGCGTGATCAACGTGCATGGCCCGACTGGGTCGCCCGCTACGTCTCCCGAGGCTGCCTCGTCGGCCTCGCCCGCTGGCGCGGCTGTGGACCCGCCGGCCTCGCCCGTTGACACGACCACGGGCCCGACTGGGTCGCCCGTTGCATCTCCCGTCTCGCCCGGCCGGGTCGGCCCAGCATGCCTCGCCTGCATCGGGCGTCGCCGGATCGCCAGCCGCATCCTCTGGGCTGCCGTCCCCGCCTGGCTTCCCCTCGTCGTCTGGTTCGGCCCAGCCCGACGCGTCTCCTCGGCCCGTGTCGCCTATTGCTGAAAATGTTTCAGCCGCGACACCACTGGTCGGGTCCCCGTCGTCGCCGCCACCATCTACCGACGATGCAGCTCCCGGGCACACTATGGTCACTCGTCACCATGATCATATGCGTAAGGCCAAGACATACACGGATGGCACGGTGCGGTACGACACTCGTCGGCGTGCATTCTTTGCCGCACCCACTTCTCATCGTGATGCTCTTGGTGAACCGGCTTGGCGTGCCGCCATGTCTGCGGAATTTGCTGCCCTTTGTCACACGAACACATGGGTGTTGGTGCCTCGGCCTCCTGGTGTTAATGTTGTGAGCTGCAAATGGATCTTTAAGACCAAGCATCGTCCGGATGGCTCTGTTGACAAGCACAAAGCTCGCCTTGTTGCTCGTGGTTTTACTCAACAGCAAGGGATCGACTGTGGAGATACTTTCAGCCCCGTGGTGAAGCCCGCCACGGTTCGTCTGGTTCTCTCTCTCTCGCTATCTCCGGCGGGTGGAGTCTTCAACAGATTGATGTGACTAATGCCTTTCTCCATGGTTTTCTGGCCGAAGATGTCTACATGCAGCAGCCCCCTAGTTTTGAGGATGCTCGTTATCCCTCACATGTCTGCAAACTCCAGAGGTTCATCTACGGGCTCAAACAGTCGCCGCGTGCCTTGTATGCTCGGTTGAGTCAGCGGCTCTCACAGCTTGGTTTTGTTCCCTCCAAGGCAGATGCGTCTCTGTTCATCTTTTCACATGGTGCTATTCAGATATACATGATGGTGTATGTTGATGATATTGTGATTGCTGGTTCTACACCTACTGTGGTGGATCGCCTTGTGCAGTCCTTGTCTCCGAGTTTTCCAATCAAAGACTTGGGCCGGTTGGAGTACTTCCTTGGTTTGGAAGCGTTCTTTCATTCAGGGGGCATGACATTGACGCAGAAGAAGTATGCACTTGATCTCCTTCATCGCGTCAATATGGAGAATTGCAAGTCCACTTCCACTCCACTTGCTACATCCGAGAGCCTTTCGCGTCACAGTGGTGCATTGTTGAGTACTGACGACTCTTTCAGGTATCGCGGTGTAGTTGGAGCACTTCAGTATCTGACACTCACTCGTCGAGATATCTCCTTTGTCGTGAACAAAGTGTGCCAGTTCCTATCTCAACCTACGGAGGTTCATTGGGAAGCAGTTAAGCGTATTCTGAGGTATGTCAAAGGTACGCTAGACACGGGACTACGGATTCGTAAATCCAGATTTACTGGAGTCAGTATATTCACCGATGCAGACTGGGCAGGTTGTGTTGATGACAGGCGTTCTACTGGTGGCTTTGCTATATTTGTTGGACCCAATCTTATATCTTGGAGTTCCAAGAAGCAGCCTACGGTCTCGAGGTCTAGCACTGAGGCAGAGTATAAGGCATTGGCCAATGGCGCGACTGAAGCCATTTGGATAGACACTGTTCTCACAGAACTTGGAGTCACACCGCAGCGCACACCCATATTGTGGTGTGATAACTTAGGGGCAACTTACCTGATTGCGAATCCAGTGTTTCATGCTCGGACCAAACACATTGAGATTGATTTCCATTTCGTGAGGGAACGAGTAGCTGTTGGTAAACTGGAAGTCAGGTTTATCTCAACTGATGATCAACTAGCGGATGTATTTACTAAACCCGCTACTCGGCAGAACCTAGACCGCTTTAGAACCAATCTGAATCTTGTATGTAGTTCAGATTGAGGGGCATATAAAATAGGGTCTAGCATATTGTACATATACACGTATTTGTATACGTATGTAATTGTGTTATGATCATCTATATAAAGAGACGTGAGGCTGGATGTTAGCCACCCATGCAAAACCCTAAACCTATCTTTTCAACTCCACCTACGTCGCCTTCCGCTCCGACTTGCCCAGCTACGGCTCCCCCGTCACCGTCGCCTACCTCCTCAACGCCAGCGCGCCCGCCATCGCCGCGTCCCGGTCCCCTGCGACTGCACGGCCGCCGGCCGCTACCAGCACGACGCCGCCTACGCCGTCCAGTTCCGCGACGAGACCTACTTCTCCATCGCCAACGAGACGTACCAGGGGCTCTCCACCTGCCAGGCGCTCATGGCGCAGAACCCCGTGCGCGACAGCGGCATCTACCCCGGCGTCGCCCTCACCGTGCCGCTCCGTTGCGCGTGCCCGTCCACTGCGCGTCACCTACAGTCCTCGACTGGGACGACTACGCGTTCACCGTCGCTCAACGCTTCGGCGCGGACTACCAGGCCCTGCTTCATGCCAACAGCATCGACGAGGATACCACGGAAAATATTCTGTAGAGCATAGGCTTTGGGACACCCCCTTATCTAGCCACTCATTTTTGCATCGCGATTCGTGCGAGTACATTTATCTTTTTTGTTTCTCCCATATAAAACAACATATGAACTTCAAACTTGGCAGCTCAACAAAACAATCTTACTAGAATGTGGGAAAAAACTTTCAGAATTTTTCGTGCAATATAAATACTAAAAAGTACATTTTTTAATACAAAAAAAATCTAATTTCGTATATTTATGTTTGACCAAAAAATCTGAAAGTTTTTTCTCACTTTCTAGTTAGAACGTCTTGGTGTTTTCAAAGTTTGAAGTTCATATGTTGTTTTAATTTGAAGAAACAAAAAAGAAAAAATCTGATGTACAAAGTTAGTTGTCTAGCACGGATCTCAAAGCAATGTTGAAAGGTAAGGATAAGTGATGCCCAGAAACCCGAGCTCTAAAAATCCGCGTCCAGGATACCACCGTGTACCCGTTCACCACCATGCTCGTTCCGCTCAAGGACCCGCCCACGTCTTAAATAGCGGTAGTCTTTGCCGGAGCCTCCGGCACCGCCACCACCACCGGCATCTGATTTGGTCCCGACGGCCAGTTCCAGTGAATCCAGCCGGTGGTGGGTCACCGCCGGCGTTGGTGCTGGATGCAGCGCTCTTGCTTTGGGTGCCGTGCTCGCTTTCTTCTTGCTATGGCGTCGGTGCTGGCCGCACGGCGACCGAAACAGGAAGACCACCCCGTGGCACGCTCCGGCGAAGGGAGCTTCGATGTGGCCGACGGTAGAGGCAGTGGACGTTCGCGAGGCGGTGTGGTTGCTGACCGTGCACGACTACGGGGATCTAGAGAGGGCTACATCAGGTTTCTCGGAGGAGCGGCGCATCGGGAACTCGTCGGTCTACCGCGCGGTGATCAACGGTGGCGCCTCGGCCGTGAAGCGCGTGCACGGCGACGATGTCGGCGCTGAGACCGAGGTGAACGTCCTGGGGCGCCTGAATCACTCGAGCCTCATCAGCCTGTCAGGCCTCTGCGTGCACGGTGGTAACACGTACATGGTGTTTGAGTTCGCCGAGAACGGCGCGCTCAGCGACTGGCTCCACGTCGACGGCGGCGGCGAGGTGCTCGGGTGGAGCCAGCGCGTGCAGGTGGCGCTGGACGTGGCAGGCGGGCTCAACTACCTGCACAACTATACCGACCCTCCCTACGTGCACAGGAATCTCAATACCAGCAACATCCTCCTCGACGCGTGCTTCCGCGCAAAGCTCTCAAACTTCGGCCTCGCGCGCGCGATCACCATCGACGACGATGCCAAGGACGGCGGCCTGTGGATGACCCGGAACGTGGTGGGCACACAGGGTTACCTAGCGCCCGAGTACGTGGAGCACGGGCTGATCGGCCCCCAGCTCGACGTGTTCGCGTTCGGCGTCGTCCTGCTTCAGCTCTTGTCAGGGAAGGAGGCGGCGGTGGCACCACCAGACAACGACGGGAAGATGGTGCTGCTTTGGGAGGAGGCGGAGCGGCTGGGCCGCCTGGGCGACGGCGACGACGCCAAGGACGACCTGCTGGACAGGGTGACGGCGTTCATCGACGGCCGGCTTCACGGGCAGTACCCGTTGGACGTGGCGGTCGCCATGCTCGCGTTGGCGTTGAGGTGCGTGGCTCGGGAGCCCCGGGTGCGGCCGCCCATGGCCAAGCTGCTCCTTTCGCTGTCGGGGATGTACAGTAGTACAATTGGACCCTGAGGCCACCGGATCTCCACCTACTGTCCTGCTCGGAAACAATAAGGCCTCCTTTGGTTTAGAGGAATTTTGTAGGAATTTCATAGGATAGGATTTTTATAGGAAAAATTCCTTTAAAGCCCTTTGGTTTGTAGGAATGGAATCCTATTCCTTTGGAGGAATTCTTCCTATCCTCCACATTTCATAGGAAAATAAAAATTAGCCTAGACTCAATGGAAAAAATCCTATGATGTGAAACAAAGGGCATCTTCTTTTCTATTCCTACTCATAGGATTTGAGATGCATGTCATCTCATTTCCTATGACTTTCCTAATCCTACGATTTTCTTACCCTATGAACCAAAGGAGGCCTAAGTCCACATTAGTAGTAGCGCATTTTACAGAGCAGGTCACCGTCGGCGTACGCATCCTATAGACTTGTGTTGCTAGCACCATCATCAATCAAACGAGAGAGGTCAGTGTAGTTGTTTTGCTGCTAGCGGCACCTAGATGCTGCAATCGGCCATGAAAAATGCTGCGACAGTTTTGCATGCAACTACAACTGATGCTGCAACTGGTGTGAGTAAATCCATGATCCATCCATCAATACAAAAAAAAAGTAAATGCCTAACAGAATATCACCCGCTATGGGAGGACTAGATTGAATCCATCCATCAATGGATAGATGATTTAGAGTCAATTACACCACAGGTGCTAGAACTTGACACAAATGATCATTTTAGTGCTAGAACTTGTGGAGGCCTGCTGCTAGTGACATGAAGGGGAGGGCATGGCCTGTGGTCTGTCTTTTTGCCAAAAGGCCCTCAATATTTCTTTTTTCTCTCATGAAAAAGTTGCTCTAGAGAAATTGTACATAAAAGAAAAATGCCACTTCTGAGATTCGAACCCACCAACTAGAGGTTACCGGTGCGGTTGGCTGTCCAGCACACCGAGTCGGATGTGACAACACACTAAATATATATAAACTTTATATACTTTAGGCTGAACAATATAAATTAAGAACTTTAATCCCATAAAAAAATAAACCAAGTTAAATACCCGGGCATACCACCCCAAAACAAGACGACCTTGTTTAAAAAGTAAGTATAATTACACTATGCATAATTCAAAAAGTTCATGCCATTTTAAAGAGAATTCATGTATTATTTTAAAACATATTCATACAATTTAAAATATTGATGAATGATAAAAAAATTATGATTTAATTAGTACACAATAAGAATCTGCAATCTGATGGCAGACTAGGCTCGTATTTATTTTTCATACATATTTCATATTTATTTTAGTTACAAATATGTAAAAAAGCACACACACACAAAATTTATTTTAGTTACAAATATGTAAAAAAGCACACACACAAATTTTTATTAAAACAAGTGAACTCTTTTTAAACAACCTAAAATTTTCTTAAACCATGATCACATGTATAAAACTTCATGAATATGAAATTGAAATCCAGGAAATAAAAATAAAATATATGCGAATTTATTTAAATATGTAAAAAATCTAAAAGTAATTTAATATTTTCTTAAAATGTGAACACGTTTTTAATCATAGTTTTTTAAAATTCATAAGTTAATTGCATGGGTTTTTGTTAAATTTTGTACGGGGATATATTTTGATGTTATATGCATTTTTTATTGTTATTTATGATATTTATATGTATTTTTATAACACATCATTATAATTTACAGAACTTTAAAATGCGAAAATGTAAAATGTTGAAATTGTCCTCACTGACTACAATTCAGTCTAGGCACACGACCATTTTGTGTTATAGTCATAAAATTTAATTATATGGAATTTTGTTAAATTAGTACGGGGATATGTTTTGATGTTATACGAACATTTTCGATGTACTCCCTTCGTAAACTAATATAAGAGCATTTATATCACTATTTTAGATTACGGAGGGAGTAGCTTATTTATATGTATATTATTATAACACATGATTATAGTTTACATAATTTTTACAAAATTTGAAAAATGCAAAAAATTAAAATGTTGAAAATGGTTGCGCTGACTGCAATTCAGTTTAGTCACACGATCGCATTGTGCTATATGCATAAAGTGTAATTTACATCAAAATAAGTTGCCTTGTCAGTTGTGCTGGAATGCCCGGGCACTTATTTACCCTGACGAGGTTCCTAGTTCGACTGACCGATCATGCACTGGTTTTTGGGATTAAAATTGTTGAGTCGAAATATATAAAGGATATGTATCCTCAAGTGACAAGAAGTCTGCTTAGGTGTTCTGGCTAAAACCCGCTCATGCAATCTGCAGGTCGCAGGTTCAAACCTCTGGCGGATCACTTTCTTTTCTGTACTTTTTTTGTGAGAGAAAAACATATCAGGGGCTTTTTGCAGAATAAACAGGGCACACGCCCAGCCCAACCCTTTCAGCAACTGAAAGTGGGCTCCTCGCCATGCTGGAACGCCTAGTCAGAGTTGCAGGCGTATACAACACCGTATTTGCACCGTCAAGCCAAGTTCTTAAATCACTTATATGTACACCACAAGTTATAGCACTAAAGTGACTATTTGTGTCAAGTTCTAGCACCATTGGTGTAATTGACTCGATGATTTATTTTATTGTTTTGGCCGGAACATCATGAGTGTTAGTCGAGTCGTCGTGATGTAGTCACCGGCCAACTTCATTTGCATGCTTGAACCTTGAACTTTGGATGATGCTTGATGTTGGTGTGGTTGCTTTATAATATAAAGCGGGGAAACCTTTTTTTGTGTATAACGGTTTCTGTTTTTCATATTATTTACTTGTACACATAGTCGTTTTGGAGCAACTTACAAATAATTACATGTTTTTTTTGGTCTCATGTGCACTTATGAGGTTTAGCCATAGCGAATGACGAGCTATGCCAAATAAGGTGACTATGTGCCGCTATAGCCGTCATAGTTAGGATAGAAGTACAAGGTGCAATAGCTAGGGATCGTAGCTAGGACAGCGGCACAAAGAACAGTAGCTAGCAATTTAAATCGTTGGTCTCGACACCGAAGTGCGTTAAGACATGGGATCAGTGCTGGTCAGTTAGCCAGGCAAGCTAAAGGTGATCTATTCTGGAATAAGACCAAACTGGTAGCTGATATCTTAGTACGCGAGAGCTCTACCACGTCTCTGGAACTATTTTAAAACTCCTATGTAACTTACATGATCTCCTTCATATATTTATAAGAGTTAAAAAAAGATTGACACCATGTTAAATTGCTTTGAAGCTTCCATGTGATTATTAATCTTGTTTTAATATTTGCAAGGTTGCGAGAGATAGATTGTACTCCCTCCGTAAACTAATATAAGAGCATTTAGAACACTACTTCGGAGGTATAAACGCTCTTAAATTAGTTTACAGAGGGAATACAAGGCTGAGCAAACAAAAAAAGTCTGATTTTTCTCACCCGAAAGGCCACCGTCCAACTAAGCGAAACCAGTGGTATTAACATGCAACAACAGCTAGGAATGATGCAGACGTGCAATCTGACAGCTGAAGGATCTGAATAAGTGAGGAGCTAAGGCTGCCTGGTTGCAATGTCCCCTAAGTATGTAAACTGTAAAAGCAATAGATGGGGATCATGGGAGTGATTGCTCAAGCTCTTCGTCCAGCAATCTACTACAATGATTTGACCAGAGCAAGTGCCAAACTGTGGTGGGACGATCGTAGAAGTACACTCTCAACTGGCAATAACATGAGAACTAGTGAATTTATAGAACGTGTGATGATACCATGAAGCACTATTTTCTCCTCCAACAACTCAAGTGTGCAGTCATAAGTTGATCTGGCCTCTCACCAACAAGCATACCAATCTTAGACTATTAAGGTATATCATCTATCTAGAATAAGAATATTTCACTATCCTATAGTGAAACCGTCGACAACATCAAGTAAAATTGCTAGCTCATGTGATGAACTTCCATCTTCGCAATGTCATGTGTTAATTTTCTATTGACACTTACTTTAGAAACACGAGTTTCCAACTTACTTTAAATAGTAACATGAGTTGCCAACTTGCCAAGCGATTTTTTTTTTGAGGATCACTTGCCAAGCAGAATTACAAGCTGTATCTTATTTACACATATACCCCGGACCGAGTTATACATGTGTCTGATTCGCATCCAGCGCTTTTTCCTCCCAACAAATATTCACGCTAGCTATTGTTTACCAAGCGTATAATTTCTGGTTTCTGTACGTTTTTTGGTTTTGGTTGTGTGATTTCTGTCTCTCAGGTCTCCCGTATCGTGACAGAGATGGACACACGTTTCTCCTTTTTGTGTTTGCACTACCTGATATCCGTCTACAAAACTGAATCAAATATTCAGATCGGAGCTCTAAGAAGCTGCCTACGCATGGTGTGAATCCATCGACATAGTATGTTCATCAACACATTGACCTGGTAAGGCCGTGCGAACAATGGCAATTCATCGGCAAATTTCAAGATCTGGTTGTCGCCCGGCGAGCCGGCGCCGAACGACGACCTGCTCGGCGATGAGATCCTCATGCTCCTGCTAGACACTGTCGTTGTGTGTGTCCGAGAGGTTTGCTTGGCATGGAACGCAACGCTTATCTCCGACCACTTCGTCATCGTCCATGTTACCAGAGTAGCCTTTGTTGGGGAAAGCGGTAATTTTCAAAAATTCCTATGATCACACAAGATCTATCTAGAAGATGCATAGCAACGAGAGGAGAGAGTGTTTCGATGTACCCTCGTAGACCGAAAGCGGAAGCGTTTTAGTAACGCGGTTGATGTAGTCGAACTTCTTCGCGATTCAACCGATCCAAGTACCGAATGTATGGCACCTCCGCGTTCGGCACACGTTCAGCTTGATGACGTCCCTCGTGCTCTTGATCCAGTTGAGGACGAGGGTGAGTTCCATCAGCATGACGGCGTGGCGACGGTGATGATTCGCCTAAGCACTACAGCGATATGACCGAGGTATGTAACTGTAGAGGGGGGCACCGCACACGGTTAAGAGAAGACTTGGTGTGTCCTAGAG